GACTTTGTTTTCGCAGATCAATAATAATAGAGTCAAACCTTCCTTTGAATAGGGATTCAAATAAAAGGTGACTTGGAACACCGGCAAAAATTAATTCCAAGTGGCGACTCTGTAAATAAAATAATCCCTATTTCAAATTTGTCACTTTAATTGGAAAAGCTCTTTAACCCTCAATTCATAATATTTTATACTTATCTCTTGAAGGGGTAAAAGGGGATGTGACAGTTGATGGGATCAGTCGGTGTCTCGTGTGTAAGGCCCTTTCCTGAAAGAGGTCGCAACAATGAAACAAAAACCATCTAATGGCTGAATGTGCCATGGCCTTCAAATATTTGAATAGCACGATCGGTTAGCTAAGTTATTCAATATTCAGTCAGTATATATATTCCATATTTTTATTAAGTCTACCTTGCACCTATGTAATCCTATTACTAGAACATTTATCCGCGCTTCACGCGGTCGTAAAAAACTTTATTGAACTTACAAAATACTTTTTTCCTACTTTTCGAATATATTAATAATAAGAAAGAAATAAGTTCCCGTAAAAACTTCAAGTATTGACAGCATTCCATATGGTAAATTAAATAAAAGGACCGTAACATTTAAAATAAAAATGGGATAAGATGGAAATATATTTATCTAATTAAAGAAATTCCTTCTCAAATATATTTATCTAATTAAAGAAATTCCTTCTAAAACGTAAAACATCTCGTGGCGTGAATGTTACGCACATACCTTAAGGAACTCGATTGAATGATCGTAGAAGTATTACTTTTCGATTTTTTTGTCTTTGCTCTATTTTATTATTCTTCATCAATAACATTAATTCTTAAATATAATTGCCTTTTTAATGTTGATTTATTTTGTATAAATCAAGTAGTAGGTTATTCTATTTTTCCATTAAAATTATAAAACCTTCAAATTCACGTGTGATGTACATCATATTCACTTTCTCAAGAACTTTACTGATAAGAAGTTTTCCCAAAATCAATTTCAATTAAGATCAATGATGAGTATACATAAAGGGTGGAGATGATCTAAACTTGTGACTCATTTTTTGAGAATATCTACAATTCAGTACTTAAGTTTTCAAGTGATAATATTATATTTTTTTAAACTTTAAATCACCCTATAAAACAAAAATATTATTATTCAAGTTACTTCACATTCACGTTTTCAAGAACTTAATTGATATGAAGTTGTTTTAAAATCATTTATGAATATACACAAGCTGGAGATCTAAACTTTTATTTGAGTAACATTTGGTTCATTTTTTATAATATTTACATATCAATTTTACCACAATTTGCAAGTGACGATATTATGGCTTACCCTTTTCAAGTATTAATTACCTATCAAAACAAAGATAATATTTAAAAAACAATCTAAAAATTCAGAGAAGAAAATATACATACTTCATGCACCACTTACATATGAAAATATTCTGCAAACAACTTTGTTGACTCTTAAGAGTAGAATTACTCTCCGATGAAAACTTGCCAGGA